TCCTTCCCTGCTCTCCATTAGAAGGTCTGACGCTCAACTGCTCGAGAGCACCTCTCTGCGGCTGCTCGGTCTCACGTTGACGGCTGACCTGTGATGGAACAAATACATTGAGTCAATAGCTTCGTCCACCGCAATGAAAGTAGGCTCTCTTTGCCGCGCCAGGAAATTTTTCTCCCTGGAATCGATCCTTCAAATCTACAAATCAACCATTCGACCTTGCATGGAGTATTGCTGCCATATATGGTCTGGAGCCCCTTCTGTTTGCCTCGGGGTTCTTGATAGGCTCCAGAGGCGGATATGCAATATAATTGGCCCTGTTCTGGCATCTCGTCTACAGAGACTTTCTCACACATGCGCCGTCACCTCTCTCTGTCTGTTTTACAAATACTTTCATGGCAATTGCTCCAAGGAGCTGCATTTGCTGGTTCCCAGACTTCATGAGTTCAAGCGCCCAACGAGGCTGGCATCCCGCTCTCACCCTTTCACTGTCGAAACTCCTAAATGTAACCGTCTCTTCTACTCCAATAGATTCATGTCTCGCACTTCTCGCCCGTGGAACTCCCTTCCCTATTCTAGTTTCCCTGAGAGCTATAATCTCCAGCTATTCAAATGTAATGTCAATCGACCTCTCCAGTTGCCTTGATCTATCCACTACCCTTTTCCTCATCCTTTCTTCTATCACTCCTATCTGATCTTGCTCCAAATTTTCTGTAACCCCTTGCGTCCTAGTGGCTTCACGCCTTGCTTGGGGTGAAACGCTTAAAAAAAGAAAAAAGAAAAAAAAAAGTTCAATTTGTTTAATAATTTGCATTAATTTTTAACAATTCTGTCTTTCTTTGATTCTTAACTTGATTTGGGATTTTTTTTTTGGCGGGAAGTTGTTGCTTGAGTGAAAGTTATTTGCAGACTGAGTTTATGTTAACAGGACATTTAACGTTAAGTCTGAAATATGTTGCGTGATGTACGTTCTAGCGTCAAATTGAAATTTCGCACTCCTCACTAACGATGATTACTATGGTTTCGCTTTTATAGAAAATATGTGTCACGTAATAAGCTCGAAATGGCTTGGCGCAATTTGTGTTTCCATTGAGGTCAAAACTAGGTCAGTACAGTTGAAAACACGTAATATATATATTGTTGTATTTTTCAACCAATCAGAATGCGTCGTAGAAATGACTTCGTTTGGAGGCTATTTTAATGGGTTTATTGAACGATGTAATATCTATATCCAACACTCTGTAAACCCCTTGCGTCGTAGTTGCTTTAGTGACTTACTTGGGGTGAAATGATATAAAAGAAGTACAATTGATTAACATACTTTGCTGACATATATCATTTTTGAGGAATATTATGTTTTGGTAGAGGCTTACTTGTCACAGTGATGACCAAGAGCGAATCCGTCTGGAGTTTCAGCTCCTGTCGGGTCACCCATGGTAGTAAGATCGAAGAGGAAGGACGAGGCTGAAGACGCCCAACGGCGGAATAGGCAAAGATGTACACGATCTAAACGGCCAAACCGGCGGAAGATGGAAGCGCTTGTCGGGCTGGCGTAGACAGGGCGGACCTTGACAAAAAAAGCACCAGATTTACCAGATCTCGTCTGTCTCAACCCCCTTTGAGTCGCGAGGGAGGCGCTTCTGGCCAAGTATGTAAGCTTCTCTGTCGCGTGGAGTTTTCCTCCAAAATCAAATGCACGTGAATGATCTCGGTTTACAGCCATGTCCGCCACCGCCACCGCCACCAGGGAGGATTAAGGGAATAGGGAGAGAGGATAATGTTCAGTTGTTTAATAACAACAGAAATATTGACGGGTTCATTTATACTTCAAATGAAATTCTATATAGAATAATGAACAAAACATTTGCATCAAACTTCGAAAATGGCCATAAGTGAATCCCGAACCTACTTTCTAATCGTCTACGAGACTACTTTACTAACTCTTGCTCTAGCGTAAGGCCCAAGGAGAAATCATCGTTTGAATCGTTGTGCTTTACCGCTTGGCCACGAAAGGAGATAGGAGAATATAGTGAGTCATCTATTAGACAAGATTGTGTGAATGGACCGTGAAACCGGGGGTTGCAGGCTTGGCAAATGGCAAAAAGTTGTTAAGAGTTATAAGTGAGAGAAGGCTGTGGAGAGCCATGATTTCCTACGTCTTGAAGGGAAACCGCGCATAGAAGAAGATTCCATTTTTACAGCGCGGGGTGAGGACACAAAATAAAAATTGGGGAGGCAAAATCAGATAAGTTTTAAAGATTCATGATTATCCGTTTTTTTTTTTTGTTTTTTTTTATTTGATCCGGTAAGAAAGGCGAGAAGAAAGGACTAACTATCAGCTACAAAAAATAAAATAGAAAAAATAACAAAAAAAAAACAAAAACAAAACAAAACGGAATACATGGTTGTTCGTAAAAGGGACAGTCCAACATGCAAATTACAAATCGGAGATGTCAAAATCAAACAAATACAATAATTTAAATATCTAGGAAGTTTTTTTTAACAAAGGACGGAAAGTGCGAAACTAAAATCCAAGAGTGCCACCCAAAAGCTAACCAAAGTATTATAAAAGAAATGAAACAAAGAAAAGATTAACTGAACTCTTACGTGATATCAGTCCTCTTGTATGACAGTGAATGCTGAACAATCTCCTCGCAGATGAAGAGGAGACTTGAGACACCAGCAATGTGCTTCTACAGTAAGATGCTGAGGATACTGTGAACCGAACATGTGTGTAACGACGAAGCTTTAAAGAAAAAGGAAACTTATACTTAACATCGGGAAGAAACAGTTCTCGGGAACATAATGAGGAAAGAGGGCTTGGAAAATCTGACACTCACAGGACAGATTGAAGGCAAGAAGGGACAAAGGAAAACAACGCATAACATTCTTAATGTTCTTAAGTAAATGGATGGCGGAACAAGGTTTAGGAGAAATAACATATAGGCAAAAATTATTAAGAGCTCCCAAGGGGCAGGAATTTTTGGAGAGCCATAATCGCCTACATCCCGAGGGGTCATGGTACACAGAAGAAGAAAAATATCCGCTCGTAAAATTAACATTTTTTCGATATATTATTTTATTGTAAACATTTGTATTAAGATTTTAAATAAAATGTTTTTCGTTTGTACTTATTTTCTAGAATTATACCTATATATATATTATAGCAATCTTCAACTACCATAATTTTACACAGAATACCTGTTATCAGGATTTATACCAAAATAAATTAATACATATAACAAAATAAAATAAAATAAAATAAAACACTAACAACCACTTTTTAGTTCAAGTTACCACCACTAGCTACCATCACTATAACTACATTCATGGTTTTATCATTCTCCCACCACCGTTACTAATCATTTCTACCAATTTACAATTTCTACCAATTTACAATAACTATTAGCTAATTATATTATCATTGTCTCCAGTCCCTTGCAACATTATTATCACATCATGTCATATAGACCCGTTATTAAATTAAACTACCCTCTCACCCAGCACATAAAAATATTAAACATCACCATATAAATTAACCAATAAGGATTACAAATTTCTACCTGTTACATATACACAGTCACCAAAAACAAATAACCAGCTTTAAATATAACAAATAAACCCCCATTTTTTTTTTCAAAAATTTAATTATAAATATAAATAATAATAATTTTTACTTATCATAATTTTACACAAACCCCACCACACGTATATACATACATGCGAGGAAATATTATTCGGCCGAAAAATAAATAATATGACATGTATACATTCACGAGACATTCACGAGACATTTCCGCCACACTTCCAATCTTTAAATTTCAACATACAAATGCGTATGTATAGACACAACACCACCCGTATACATACATATGTCATATCCGAAACTGCCCACATATGTTTATGTATGTATGAATCCCAACGGATGACCAAGTGTGTATATGTGTCTGCATACATCGATGTTTGCGTTAGTACGATGACATAAGCGACGAAGTTTCCCCCACCACTTCCACAATAACACCAATACACGCAATCTACATAAACCCAAATTTTTAAAAAAATTAATCAGTTTGTCTGACGATCGCTAAAGTGTGAAACCCAGGATCACAAACTCACATCTATCCAACCATATATATATATATATATATATATATATATATATATATAAACATAGAAAATAAAACATTGGGTAACAATTAATGATATTTGTTATATATTGTAAATACTATGTTATTTGGCATTAAATTAAAATTAAGAAATAATCAGAAATACTTTCTGAGTTTGACGAATTAATGTAATGTAAAAATGTAATGTATTTTCTCGTTTCGACTATTTTATATGTTATTTTAACTTTTCAATGTTGCTATACTAATTAAAAGACATTGAATGAATTTTTGTCGTTGCCAGCTGCACGGCATGTCATATTGATCTCGTGCCAATTCTCGTCTAGAGATGCTTCGGCTTGGCTCTGATCTCGCGGTGACATGACTAACGTGTTGGATTTCATGAACTGATTGGCAGTTTACCTTTTAACTGGATACACATGATAAGGCATTTTTTTTTGCTGGCTATGTAAGAAGTATTTTATATCAGTACATTTTTTTAATTAGCCTGAAATTTTTGCAAGGTAAAATCAGATGCCCCCCACCCAGCCCCACAAACAAAAATTATCATCATGATACAAAATATATTGTTAAATATATTTTCTCGCAGAAAACGAGGACTCTAGTCATTTTTTAGCGGCATATCAACCTCTATGGGTTATTTAATGCTTAAATCTATATATTTTTTTGTAAACAATTTTATTTTATTTTTAGAGATAATAATGGTTTAGTGATACAAGTCTTACTAATTAACCCATAGCTGGGGGGAAGAGGTGGATTCATACCTTTCCTAAGAGTATTTGCGTGTAAGTGAATATAACGAACCCAACTGGAATTGGAACTCCGTTTTCTGTTTAACAATTCCAAATCATTATCTGTTACAAACCCCACACATCCAAGATTACAGCACCTGGTATTCACAAGCGTTTGCCCATCTAGGTAGCGATCAGGCTCTACGTTGCTTAACTTCGGTGATCGTACGGGAATCGTTTTTTTTTTAACGTGATGTGGCCATAAGCCGCTCTAGTCGTGTCGTCGTCGTTGGCTGAACTCGTTGCCGAGTATTGGGGTGCTCATCGACAATCACTTCTGTGTGAAATGAATCCTATGTTGGATCTGAAGAGACGTCCGCAGCCCCCTCATAGTAGGGTAGGAGGGTTTTAGGGGGGATGGAGGACTCTGGCTTATTTCTGGGCTCTCTTTCTTTCTTCCATTTGTTTTCTAGTGTTTCCTAAGAATGTTGTTTCTTGTGGACTGCTCTTCTCCAATTGGTTATTTTAGACATGTGAAGAAGAAATGTCTTTGAACATGAAAGCCTTGACTGTGAATTGTTTGAGGTGGTCTATAGGTTGCCACTCCATGGCATACACATCAGCTGACACCATCCACTGCGGCAAACCAGGCCTTGAGAGGTTCATGATGACAGCTTGCATCAGGCTGCTAACTTGATCTCGTACATAGAACTTCATCTTGATCACCTCCCCTCCAGTCGTTGGATCATGTTTAGTCTAGTCTCTTCCCTGAATCCTTACCATCATGAGTGACCCTACCAGGAAACTAAGCTACCGATGACATTGCATTCAGGTTCCTTGTAACACACAAGTGCTTTCACTATGATACACTATATGCATTATTATTAAAATATGTAATGTATATACATTATGTGTTTTTGAAGTTCAAAAAACATTTTTCTTCTATTAGGTTGGTGCAAAAATAATGACGTAATAATGTCGTTTTTGCCGTATTTTTAACGCCAAAAAACGACATTATTACGTCATTATTTTTGCACCAACCTAATAATAACACATTTAGATAAAAACATTATTTCACCTGTTGCATTATATCTATATCTTATATCATATATTTTATACTGTCCTGTTGGCTGGATTTGTTGACTGCGAATAGAGGGATCTCTTCGTCTCTTCTATTTATTATATTGTGTTTTCGATTTTTTTTTTTTTTTTAATTGCTCTTTCTCCAATTGGTTCTTGACAGGATCGATTTCTGTCCTCAGTAACGTGTTTCTGAAGCGATCCTTGAAGCGACGACGTGGGGGTTCTACGCAGTTTCTTGCCAGATGCGAGCCCTGAGAAGAAGATTTGTTTGGGTAGGCGGATGTCTAGCATTCGGACGAGGTGTCTGTCCCTTCGATGACGGTCGCGAGTCATGATGGCTTCTAGGCTCTCCATCTTTGCACGAGGAGAACTCTATTGGCCGTGTCGTAACCACTTAGAAACTTAGTATCGAGATCAAATAAACCAGTTTGTTTAGAAGTAACTCTATTCAAATTTGACTAAATCTTAAGTGACCCCACTACTGATATCAGTACAGGTTAAGAAATACACACGCACACACACACACACACACACACACACACACACAAAAAAAGACAAGGAAAAAAGATAGAGTTAAATAAGATAAATTACAAAATACATTATTTTATACTATATTCAAGAATTCCACAGATTCTAATAGTTTAATTCCAGCGACATGTTTTTCTTTTCTATTTATTAGACCCAAGAGTATTTATTAAAGGAAAAAATTGGCTTTAATTTGCTACGTAGCCGAAAAGAAGAAAAGGGAGGTCATCTCATTCCTATCTTTAAACTTAGTTTGTCACAATCGATGACCCAATCGCCGAAACAACAAATTCATTTACGATTCACACGACTGTCACACACACAAAAAACTGTAACTGCTCTATGAAATCCAAACTACCTACCCCACTTTCTAGGGTTAAGAAATGACAATGACAGCTAAAAGTCTAACCCAAATGTATATCTCTATTGCACAATACTGCTTAGGAGAAACGAAGAAAAAACAGTTAGTAATAAAAACTCTTCACATCCTGGCAGAATTGGTATTTTAGAACGGTTTATCGTAAAACTGATAACCGTTGCATTTATGGTGATTTCCCAAGTATGGCATAGCACCGAAAGTATGAGGCACCCAGTGAGGATCGAACTCACTACTCAGTCGTAATTGTTCTAGCGAGACAAGCTTGCTAATCATTACACCACGTCGAGGTGCCGAAATGATTTTCTAAGCGTAGCTTAGATGTGGCACAAGGTCGACAGTATGAGGCACCCAGTGAGAACCAAACTCACTATTCAGTTGTAACTGATCTATCGAGACAAGCTTGTTAACCATTACACCACCTAGAGGTGCCAAATCTGTCGCACTTATATATATATATATATATATGTGTGTGTGTGTGTGTGTGTGTGTGTAATTGAAAAGTAGCTCCCTATTTTATGTATGATGTACTCTTCCGTCTAACTATAATCTAGTATACTGAGAGCTACCCTACCCTTACTTGCTTTTAGCATTTATATAGTATATGCCTGAGCTATGCTAATAGGTAATCATTTACATATCTTTACATTATGTTTTCTCGATTACGCAAGCCGGTAGATGTAATAAATACTGTTAAAATAAACTGAACGTTTAATTAAATACAATCCCTTAAAAATAATGTTTTCAGTAATATATATATATATATATATATATATATATATATATATATATATATATATATGTGTGTGTGTGTGTGTGTGTGTGTGTGTGTATATATAAAACGTCTTTGTTTATTCCCCGTCTCATTGAAAAAGAACACAGGCATGTCAAAATTTCGACTTCAAAATCTTTAAATCCTTCCCTTCATTTTTCAGTTTAGTCAAAAGGCTAATGTATAATAAATCTTAAACAATCATATTACCAATATTGTTATCATTTCGTTGGCTTTTTATGCTTCAAATTTTATTAACCGGCCTATTAAATCTCCACACACACACACACACACACACACACACACACACACACACACATATATATATATATATATATATATATATATATATATATGATTTTTAAGAATATAATAGTTCAAAAGTGAATCAGGTATTTTCATATCGTGCACAATTTAAAAAAATATTAAAATAATATTAAAGATAGAGCATTGATAATATTATATGGATAAAAATCGCTTAACTGTAAATATCAGTTTTGATGTTGCTTCCCCGACTTCGAAGTTTCCTGCAATTATTGATTCTACAAGAGGTCTGTTTGAAACAGCAAACCCCTTGAAGATAATTCCAAGAAACTTCGAAGTCGGGTAAACAACATCAAAGTTCATATTTACAGTTAAGTAATTTTTATGTATGTAATATATATATATATATGAGGTTGGTTCATTATATCATGATAGACAGTCTTTCTCTCCGGAATCTATCTTATACATTTATGAGTCTATTCATTGAATATTGCTTCTCTGGTGTTTCTGTTATGTACTTACAGATTCTTGATAAAATTCAAAGAATCTGAAATGTTAACGGTCCTGACCTGACATCTCTGTTTAACTCACTTCCCACCGTCGTAAGGTAGCTTCCCTGTGTCTTTTCTATAAATATTTTCATGCTAATTGTTCTGGTGAACTTTACTTTTTGGTACCTAGACTTTATGAACTTAAACGCAGTACTGGATTTTAAGGCTGAAATGGCTAGATGCAACCGCGTGTTCTACAGCTAAGAGTTTCTTCTCTCGCACTTGTAGAACTAGTGTGGAGTATTTAATCACACCATAGTGGTAAGAATTTTAGGCTTGATTCACGAAGATAAAAACAAGAAAATAAACGTATGAAACAACACAGAAAGCATGGTAAATTGTATAGTAATTTCATACAATTTTCTTTATATATTTGTTTCTGTATTTTTATGTTTCAGTTGTGTTAATATACACATTATAAAAGAGAGAAATTTAGTCCGTCGTATTACAAGTCATATCACAGAGGGAAGTTACACATGTGTTGTCATCCCGACAGTTCTTACGCGAAGAGATTGAATCTAACGTCTTTTGGTGGGATGCCCGTATTTTCCGGCAGGAACAGTTTTGATTGCATGCTGGGAGTAATTTTATTATTTTTATTTTTTTATTTAAAGGTTTAAATATTATTGTTTTATTTTATTTTATTTATAATTTTCGTTATTATTATTATTTTATTTATTTATAATAATAATGTTATCTCTACGTTATCTTACAGCTTTTTGCTTTCCATTCTAATTTGATCTTCAAGATTTTAAATGCAATGGCAATCATTAGCTTCAGTTCTTTTATTGTTTTATTTCATTTATAATGTTTTTCATTTTCACATATTCTCTCGCGTTCAGTAACCTCCTTGCGTCTTAATAGTTTTATTGCACTGACTGGAGTGAAATGATTAAAAAAAGCAATTTGAAAAAACTCTGATCATAAATTACAACACAGATGTTAAATTAATTTGCAGAAATATCGCTACTTCCAAAGTGTTGCTCAGCCCTAAATTGGAGACGGAGTTTTGTTCTAAATATATAAATATACCTATATATAATATAAATAAATAATAGCTGGCGACTCGTATTCAAGGATACCCGTCTATTAGGGTGGATAGTCAATCCCTATTGTAGACACTAGCCCAGGCACATTTGTGTTTGTTCAACATCCACAGAGCCCACCTGTGGTTTATACTGCAACTATGCTGAGCAGACCTTAGTTACAGTTTTCTGAGAGAGTGTTATCTAGCGTGATCAGTAATCTGAACAAGGCCAACACATTCAAACCCTCGATCGTGGTAGCACAGCTATTGACGGCCCCGTGGTATGGTTTTCAGGTACTTTCCAAAAGTGCCGCACGCTGGCATCCCCCCCTTCACCGGCTGATAACATCAGGAAGTCTCTTTCCTGACAAGTTAACAGGGTCTCATGGTCAGAAAGCGAACACACACACACACACACACACACACACACACACACACATATATATATATATATATATATATATATATATATATATATATATATATATCGTGTTTTCGAACATAAACGAGATATTCGCCTCGGAAATTTAAACAATGCTTTAGTTGTACACACAACTAAAGCTGATCATAATTTCGATTTTGATTCTGTGAAGATTTTAAAATATATTCATAATAAAAATCTTAGGCGGATTTATGAA